CCACTTTCATATATGGTGTTCATTAGTTTTGTCAGTGTTTTCAAACCACCTTCTCCCAGTAACTTGAGCACATCTCCAGGTACATCATCATCTCCTGTAGCCTTTCCCTTCCTCATTTCCTTGATAGCTTTTTCCACCTCACTTTGTAAAATATATGGTCCTTTCTCGTCTATATCTACTTCTTCTTCCAGTTCAACTTCTAAGGTTTCTGGCCAATTAGGTCGATCATACAGTTCTGTAATATAATTTTCCCAAATTTTCAGCTTATCATTAAATATGATGAATATATATTTTAGTCATTTTAGTATAAAGACAACAGGGCATGCAATGAAGTATTTCGACGTACATAGAAAAGCACCTGAAGATGGCACTTTAGTGCTGAAACATGTAGTGCAAGAGAGAAGAGTGAGGTGAATAAATGTATGCACTGTAAGATGGTCAGAATAAATCATGGACTAACAAATTCATTTATCGTATAGAAAGAACGTTTGAATAAAAAGGATTTTAAGGCTTTTTTAAAAGCTGAAAAACCCACTGAGTTTTTTATTTTGTTTGGCACCTTACTATACAATTCTATCCCCATATTTACCACACTTTTTTTAAATAATGTAGTTCTGCAGAAATGAATATGAAAATCCTTGTTTATTCTTGTATTATATTATTATTATTATTATTAGAGGGGGTGGGTTTCCCCATGCACTTAGACCAGTTATTGGTCCATTGTGCGTTCCCCTTTAATTTCTACTGCCTCCATACCCTACCGGTACTGGTGTGTGCTATCAGCCCCGTTCAGCCAACAAGGTCGGCCGTCGGTACCTGATATTTCCCCCATCTACCAGAGGCATTGGAAACTACTTGGGCAGGAAATTGTTGCCTAATTTTGCTCAGAGGTCTCCTAGAGACACGAGGATCTTTTACGTGCTGTCCCTTGGAGGACTTGTTCCCTGAATTTTTCCGCCCTTAAAAATTCCACGACCTCCACCGGGTTTGAACCCGTGTACCTCGAGTCATGAGGTGGGAACGTTACCCTTAGACTACGGAGGCCGCTTTCTTGTATTATAACTATGAATAGTTATATTTTGGATCAAATCTGCTTTGTGCTTTTTTATGTAACATAACACCTCTAAGATATACAAAGAAGTGACTGTGAAGATGCCATAATCTTTAAAAAATTGCCTGCATGATTCTTTGTTTACCAAGTCCACTAATTATTTGCAACACTCTCTTCTGCATTTTAAATACCTTTATACTATCACCTTCACCCCCCTCCCCCCAAAAAATAAAATATTATTCCATATCTCAATAACGATTGAAACTTTCCAAAATAAATGCTTCTTAACATATTTGAACTCAAAACTCCTCTTTGTGATTTAATTATTTAGGATGTTTTACTAAGTATTATTTGGCTATGAGTGGTGGTGGTGTTGGGATTTATTGTATAAATGACTTTACTTGCGATGTAATAGATATTTCAAAGTACTGTGTTGAAAAGGTTATTGACACCTTTGCAATACATATGAAAACGGATAGCAATGCAATTATGTTTGTGGGTATCTATCGATCGCCCAGTGGTAATGTACAAGAATTTATAAAACAAGTTGACGTGATTTTAAAGTTTTTATACAAGCCAAAGTTCGAAATTATACCATGTGGGGATTTTAATATAATTTTTTTTATGTGATTCAAGAAATGTGCATCTAATAAGTTCATTAATGCAAACATATAACTTGTTTTATATTGTGGACTTCCCAACTAGGACTGCAAAAGAATCCTACACGGCCATTGATAATATTTTTTTGGACTATAGTAGAGTAAATACCTACCATGTGCACTCTGTAAAAAATGGTCTATCAGATCATGATGTGCAACATCTGGTGATAAATAATGTGTTTGGAACTCAATGGAATAAGAATAAACCTGTTAAAAAGAGATTAATAACTAAGACTGGAGTCATGATGTTTAGGGTGGCACTACAAAATGAAACATGGGAGATGACCATTGTAGTATGGAGGTAGATGTAAGTTTTAATGCATTCTTAAACACATTTATAGTCATTTTTGAATCCTGCTTCCCCATGCAATTTGTGATGGATATGGGGCATAAAAATCTGTGACTGACAATCTGAGGGAACTTGACCTAATTTTTATGCTCTATTTTTATGCAGTGCATAAAATCAACGCATTACGGCGTCTTCTGCTTGTTTGTCTGTAAGTTTTATTTTTGAAATTAGTCAGTACATTTGTATGAAATCTAATGTGAGGTCTATATGAAAAGTTTAACTGAAAATTTAATTTTGGCCTGTATTGGTCCATTTTATTATTATTATTTTATTTATTCTGTTGATCCATACTGGTACAGCCATTGGATATACAAAAGTAAAAAATAGAAGACAATACAATATTAATAAATAATGATAAATAAATAAATAATACATGAAATTATTAAAAGTATTTCGTGATTTACGCAGTCAAAAGCCTTCTCCAGATCGAAGAAGATTCCACCTACTTTTTTTTTTATTGTTAATAGCTGCTAAAACTGTATTTATTAAGTTATATGAAGCTGTTTCAGTGGATAATTTGGGGTGAAATCCAAATTTTAATCATATTCTGTAAGAAGCTCACAGTGAACTTGTCGGTTTTCACAAAAAATGGCTGGTGATACAAAAAATGCTAATCTCCAACTGACAAAAATTATGAAACATAGATTTCAGTAAATTTAAATATTTGTTGATGCGAGATATATTTAATGACATATAAAAAGAAAAGCTCTGTTTTCATGCAGTTTTATGTTTGTGCTGTTTATTAGCTTTGTAATTAACTGACTTTTACTGCATATGCCTTCAATAAACCACCTCATGTTCCCATTTTTCTGACATGTGTTGGTGAAGAAATTAAAGAATAGGAGGAAATCAAGAAAAATTTATTAAAAATGTAAAGTTAAACTGCTTATTATTTTTAGATTACTAATACAGAATATTGGGTGGAGAATCTTCCTGGTAGCAGTTAACTGAAAGACCAAGAAGGAGATGGAAGAATAATATTAAAATGGGTTAGAATATGAACAGTATGATGAAACAATTCAGGATAGGTTCAAATGGGGAGCTTTTGTGTCAACACTGTTGAATATTTGAGTCCTATTACCAGATAGTTTATTTATTTATTTATTTTTACATCTGTTGATCCATACTGGTACAACCATTGGATATAGAAAAGTCAAGTTATTTAGCCTCCACATCTGCTTGTAAAGCAAGTACAATGGTAATTTCTGTATAACCCAATAATATGCCAACTGAAAACTACTTTGTATCATGAATATGAGACTGCATTGATAATTTCTTTCAGTATGTGATGTATAATATTTCAGTACGTCAGAGATCTTTGAGAACTTACACTCATCAGTTTTCACAATACAGCAACCAAATATGCCTATATTCTGTAGAATTCCCATACAAAAGAACTCTGTGGCTTTAGTCCGCAAGTGAATTATACCAACCAAGCGACCGCTGCTTGTCAGCGAAGTTAGTGCCAACTTTAGCAGATAGAGGGTGTCACGTGGTCAGCGCATTGAATCCCCACGGCCGCCAATTTCGGTTTTCTAGACAAAGCTTTCTACAAAATTTACATATACAACAATCATTGAGAATATGTGTAATAGTGTTTCATTATTTCATTATATTCTTCTGATAAGCTTCATCAATACAAAATTATGCCACAAGGACCACAACCCCTTCTTTATGCTATGACAAATTTTCTGACCCTTTCTATCCATATAACTTTTAAAGGTATACTGAAAACCATCTCCACAATCTGCCCATTCCACCAAATTAATGTGTCCTGCATTCCTCACTGAATTTCTGTTGACCATTTGCCGGTATTATAACAAATAATATGTCAAGTACTTCTTTTGTAAACCAAAGATATCACAATTATTTAATATACCAGTTCAAATTTTAATCTAATAACAGGAACCATAAGTATTATTTTCTTCATAATCATAACTTTCATTATTTATAAGTCTCCTATCAAATTCATATGCACTGCATTGTTTCAACACTATCAGAAATTCCACATAAGATGCTTACTAACTATGATTTTTCAGAGGAAGTGGTTTAGTGATAACTTGCATCCTACATTGTACCAATTCATATCACATATGATGTAATTCAGCAGTGAACATTCTGAAAGAGTTGATTTCTAATATACATCCTACACTACTCTGAAGCATACCACTGGAACTTGCACTACAGACGTTTTTATAATCAAGCCATTTCTATGAGTGAGCACTTTCATATATTTGAACACCAATAATGATTTTAATTCATTTTTGTATTAGTATAATAAACTCATAATTAGCATATTGCTAGAGAAGTTTCTATGTAACCACCAATATCATCAGCTATAACAAATCTGGACTAGATTTCATGATAACATATTTATTACTTGTGTGATATTGAAAGTTGTTGTATAATTCTCCAGTAATGAACGTGCAGAAGGACTGTAAAGGAACATTGAGACTGTTCATATTTGGTTTTACAATAATTTCTGGAATTGTTCTTCTAACTGTATGTTACATAATGTGTCCAATACTTCTTTCAAAGGTCCGTGAAGAATCGTTTGTTAAATATATTATATACTTTATGGGTGCATTTTTACTGTGGATACTGGTAATGGCTTTTGCATGTTGTTTGTGGCATATTAATGAAGTGTGCCTGTGTTGCTTCAGAAACCAGTGGAATCAACAGAAAATCAAGGATGGTGATGTGGAAGATTCTGAGGATGTCATATGATTTGAAACCATTCACATACAATCCAAAAATACTCAAATTTCTTATATAAATGAATAACAGATAAAATGGCATAGTGAGACTTAAATTGCCTAAGATATGTACATGCTCAATGTAGCTCTCATCCTTTAAAAATGTGTTTAAATAAAAAAGTTATTGTGCTTTATTTCTTTCCTATTATGATGTATGAGTAAACTTAGTCAGCAATGTCAATTCCATAACCATATATATACAAAAATCTTAATTTTATAACAAATTCTTTTATTCAAGAAAGTTTGTTGGAATGATGTGAACAAGAAGAAATATATTTCATTCACTTCTTCCAGAAACATTAGTGGCGGTTTGCATTTCCAAGATTATGTATTCATTTATCACTTCTACCTAATAAATTATGTGGAAAATAAATATGAATGGAAATGATGGTTTTATCAAAGGAGTATTTAAAGAATATTTTGTAGTATTACATATGCATATATCTGTGCAACTCAGGTGTCTCTACATATTAGATCATAAATATAAGGTATTTAGAACATAGTAATACAGTATTTTAGAACTTAATCTCACACATTCATGTCACTTCATTAGTTACTACAATGAATTAGTTTTTTGTTTTTTTTTAGACATTAATTTAATTATACTGTTATGTTGAGTTTGGAAGCAGAAAATAATTTTTGTACAGCATAGGGGACCTTTCATTAAAGTCTTAGTGCACTTGAAGCATAATTTGTATGTTTATACACAAATAGCATTTGAAGTTGTTATGAGATCGTGTTTTGATACTTTATTAATCAATATGAAATCATCCTACTTCTTATATGTAATATTGATCACAGACTAATTAAAGCACAACATGTTTACATTTGTGTTTATTTTATAATTAAGGAGTATAGTTGAAATGCTGAATTAGTTATAAATGACATGTTCAAAAAATTGTAGATAGCTTTCAGATTTACGTTTGTTCTCAGCATCCATATCTGGAAATACAACATTTTCTAAAGTGTAACAAACACAAGCATCTGTCAACTTTCACAGTTGATATCAATGTTGCCTCCTTAAATGTCAGAGTACAGATTTCTCTCATATTTCACTCTTCACAAGCTATCTACTTAAGACTGGGTGAACAAATATCATGTGAGAAACAGCTGCAAATATGTCTAATTGATCACAAGGCATTCTTAAGCATGACATGTTTTGGGTGAGTGCCATGTCTGTCAGCAAGTGGCTAGCAACATTAGTGTTCACTGTTAACAAACTCCGAAGCAAAAAGAAGAAATAACTGGAATTGAAACCTAAAATGATACATGAACCATAGACACCACAATTTAAGGCATATGTTAATTTTTTATTCTGTCTAAATACACCCTAAACTGTAAAATGTTCCAAACAAGAGTTATACCATGAAAGATAAAAATATTTATGGATATTTGTGTGAATGGAGAAATTGTATGAACGATTTTATTTCGGTATAAAGAGGGCTTAAGAAGCCTTTGTTGACATTAATCTGCCAGTCAAGTAGACTTAAGCAGTAGCACTTGTGATTTATATTCATCCTGACTGAGATTTTTTATTCTTTCTTCAGTCTTCTCAGGTAAATACCAGAATAATGCTTTAAATTAGGCTGCAACCACTTCTTTCCGCATCCTTTCTAATGAATTTTTACAATCATTTAATCATTTGTCGCTATATAGTCCGAACTACTGTCATCGTTGTCAAATGTACTTGCTCAGATTTTCACTATGGAAGGATGTAATAACAACACAAAAGACAGTTTCAAAGAACTGTATAAAGAAATAAATTTTTTCATAAAATAATGTATATTATTTTCTTTAAGCAAATTAAAATGAAAAACATTTTAAATAAATTGGTTCACATTTCCACATAATGCTAGCAGTCATATTCTCAAGAATGACTTCTTCTTCTATTCAAGATAAAGGCCTGTTACCTTTACTGAGATCTCTTCTGGCATGCTGGGATATCATGTAATAGGTCATGGCCACTTCCTTTTATGCAACTGTTAATTCACAAACCATAATGACCTTTTCATTTGGTACTCTAAAACCTTTATAGTTTAGAAGTATCATCAGATAAACTAAAGATGAAGCGATGTACATACATTTTCAGAAAATATGATAATGGTCACACTGTATTTGTATTTTGTATTTGTATTTGTATTTATATTTGTTCAAGAAATCCAAAAAAGGATATAGAACATGTCACAGAACTAAATATAAAACAGGATACATGCATAAATTACACGACTAGATAGTACAATGAATCAAACAATAACAAGTTTCAAAGATCCAAAAAATGGATATAAAACATGTCATAAATAATACAAAACATAAAATACTCAGTTATGCTTATCTGGATCCAACAGTATTCAACAATAATAAGTTACAAAGATCCAAGAATGGATATAAAACATATCATAAATAATATAAAACATAAAATACATGCATAGTTATGCTCGTCTAGATGATACAAGAATACAATAAATACTAAAATTTATCTGTTTAAATATTCTTCTACAGTATAAAATGTATGTGTATTCAAAAAATATCTTAATTCAACCTTAAACTTTTTAAAATTATGAGATGAGTTCTTGATCTCTATGGGCAGTTTATTAAACATTTTTATACCCGCGTAGTAAACTCCTTTTTGAAAACTAGTTAAGTTAGCTTGAGGTAGATAAAGATCTTGTCTATGTCTGGTATTTATAGCATGAGAGTCAATATTTGATGAAAAAAGATGTTTATTCTGCAATACAAATATTAACAATGAAAATATGTATTGCGATGCAAATGGTAAAATGTTTAACTCTTTAAATATGTTTCTACACGAAACTCTGTTACCATNATAAAATTATTGTTATAATTTATTGTAAAAGTATCTGATATTGTTGCCTTGGTTTTAAATTGAATACAATGTGTCTTATTAAAATTCAGGGATAGTTTATTTGCTCTAAACCATCTATTTAAAATTTCAATTGTTGTAAGAATATTCCTACTAAGATCATTTATATTAGAATGTGAAAATAAAATGCTAGTATCATCAGCAAAGATTACGGGTGTAGAAAATCTATTTAATACTTTAGGCAAATCATTTATATATATGAGAAACAACAAAGGTCCCAATACCGACCCTTGTGGCACTCCCTGCCTAATATTGAGCCATTCTGAGGATACTGTATTTACATCATTCTTATGTATTACTGTTCTGATATATCTGTTACTTAAATAAGATTCATAAAGTGCTTGATCTTTCCCAGTAATACCATAAAATTTAAGTTTGGTCAACAAAATATCATGATCAACGCAGTCAAAGGCTTTCTCTAAATCACAAAAAACACCTGCCACTAATTGTTTGTTGTTCATAGAATTTAAAATCTCTGTAGTCAATTTGTAAATTGCATTATCTGTTTTTAATCCTTTCCTAAATCCATATTGTTCACTACTTAGGATATTATACTTATTAAGATGTTCTAAAGTTCTTGTATATATTATAGTTTCAAATATTTTTGAGAAAGATGTCAAGAGTGATATGGGTCTATAATTAGTCACATCCCATGTATCACCATTCTTATACAGAGGATTTATTATCGCATATTTTAGTCTATCAGGAAAAACTCCTCCCCTTAACATTTTATTGCATATGTAATTTATAGGTGAAATTATAAATGGCGAGCATAATTTTAAAATAATAGATGATATCTCATCATATCCACAAGAATTTTTTGGTTTAAGAGATTTTATTATATTCTCTATTTCTTTAATTGTAGAGCAGTTATAATTTATATTTGGATATGAGTTTATAAAATCTTGATTCATATAATGCATAAAATTTACTTCATTTTTTTGATCATTCATAGGTATGGAATTTTTATTAACATGTCTTTTTATTTTATCAGCAACATTGGCAAAATATTTATTAAACTCCCCTACAACCTCTTGTTGATTATTCAATATTTTACCATCTATTTTTACTGCACTGATTTCTATCCTGCTTGTACTCCTACCCACTTCTTTCTTTATAATACCCCAAGTAGTTTTTATTTTATTGTGGGAGTATAGGATACATTTATCATACTCCATTCTTTTTGCCTTTTTTATAACAGTACTCAGTAGTTTAGAATAATTTCTATAATAAACTCTAAAATTAGGATCCTTATTGTTTCTTAATTCATTGTAGATTTCTCTTTTATGTTTACAGGATTTCATTATTCCTGGTGTAATCCATGTATTGTTTTTTTGAACACTTTTTTTCTGAATTAGTGTTTATCACTAGCTATGCAATCAATGTTGTGTCACACTAAGCTACACTGGGCAGAGCTATATTTGAAAAATAAACTGCATGATGCAAATGCTTCTTTTGAAGCTGATAGTTTTTCATCTGTTCAAGAAATTCAGTGTCTTTTATCGAACTTGAAGGTGTACTGATGTTGTTCACGTGGCTCTGGGATTCCCTAAGTTAGTTGTATTCAGTTTATTCCTTAACACCATATTTAAGAGCCACTTAAATATTATCATCCCATCTATGCCTCATCATCATCATTTATTTACATTCCATAAATCCACTACATATAGGATAAGGAATTAGTCATTGATAATACAAATAACACTACATAGAAATAACAATATAAGACTCATTACATTATTCAGTACCATAATCACAGTTAATTATTGGAGTCAAATTTACAATCAAAGTATTCTTCCAAGGAATAAAATGAGTTCATCAACAAAAATCTTCTTAAAACAATTTTAAAATGTTGAGCCAGGTTCCTTATATTAGGAGGAAGCCAATTAAAAACCTTAATACCATGGTAATACACTCATTTCTGAAATACAGTCAACTTACATGTAGGATAATGGAATTTATTATTATATCTTGTATTCCTATTATATAACTCAGAATTTAACTTAAATTGATCTTTATTATTAACCACAAACATTGCAAGAGAAAATATATACTGAGATTGAAGGGGTAAAATTTCCAGTTCCCTGAACAATTCCCTACATGAGTCTCTGCTCCCAGAGTTCATTATAATTCTAATCGCCCTTTCTTGCAACCTAAAGATATGAATACTATAAGGGGAAATACCCCAGAAAACCAAACCATAGGTCATAATTGACTTGAAGTAAGAAAAGTAAATCATTCTTAATGTACCCTGAGACATGTAAGATTTTAGGGCTCTAATCACGTAACATGCGGAGCCCAATCTAGACATTAACCATTCCACATGTCCATTCCAAGACAATGTGTTATCAATAATAAGCCCCAGAAACTTAGTATTTGTAGTGTTAACAATCCAATCATCATCATCATCAATATGAATATCCATCGGCTGGCGGTTCTTAGTCAGAAATTCGATAAAATGTGTTTTCTCAAAATTTAATGACAATAAATTATCTTGAAACCAATCATTTATGTTTTTAAATATTAAAGAAGCCTTGAATTCATAATCAGCAGACCTAGGGTTAGTAATGACTATGCTAGTATCATCAGCAAAAATAACGGGGTTTGACTTGTTCGATATGATATAGGGCAAGTCATTTATATACAACAAAAACAACAAAGGACCCAGAATTGAACCTTGGGGGACTCCGTTTTTAATTTCCCCCCATTCAGAGTACCTCAGACCGTTATTCACAACAACTCTCT